CCAGTAGAGGAATAGCTGGTTTAAGGGGGATTTCCAGACCAACTTTTCTAAGGAGTCTCCATACTGATTTCCATAATTGGCTTGTCTTTGTTATGTTATTTTCTTGATGTTGGTTCTTTTTTTCCTCTGTGTTTCATTTCTTGCCCTGGTTTCTTTCTGTTCTTAAAATTGTGGTCTTTTTGACCCTGTCTAGAATATCTTCCAGTACCGTTTGTAGTGTTGAATTGGTGGTCATGAATTTCTTCAGTTGTTTTTCGTCATAGAAGTGACTTTTTTTCTCCATTAATTTTCAAAATGGTTTTGCAAAGTATATCCATCTGAGTGGGAAGTTTTTTATGTTTTCAGTACAGGGTCTCACTACACAGATTGGACTCTTAGTGATCCTCCTGTTCTCAGCCTCCCAAGTGCTGGGATTATAGGTGTGCACCACCATGCCCAGTCTTAGTCCCTGTCTCAGCGCACCCGCGGGTCAGGGCCAGCACGACATGTCAGGGATCGAACACCGGTTGCTGTACTCTGCCTAAGCAGGCATTTTAGTGTGCTGAGCTATCTAGCTGGCCCTAGGTATGGATTTATTTTGGTTATGGTTAATTAAAATTTTATATGCCTCACTTAATTGTATGTCAGATTCTTTCCCAATGCTCGGGAAATTTTCTGCCTTTACTTCTACAAATAGTGTTTTTTTTAAATGTCATTTGTGTTGATTCCTGTTTCTTCATTGATACCAATTATTCTTATATATTTTTTTGTATCACCTTGCAGCAGTTGAATTATCTCCCGATTTTTGTTATTTTCAAGATATCTTTCCTTTCATGATTGCTAGCCACAATCCTGTCTTCAAAGTCTGCAAGTCTGCCTTCAGTTTCATTCAAGCAATTTTGCCAGTTTCAGTAGAATTTTTAATTTCCTATAGATGTTTGAATCCATTTCATACATTTTATTTCTTTCCAATGATGATCATTTACAGTTTCCAGCCTCTTCCTATCATTATCTATTTTTTCCTCTATTTACTCTAGATTTGCTGAGTATTTCCTTTATAAATGTTGACATTATTTTACCTGAGAGGGTTTTTTTTTTTTTTTTTTTTTTTTTTTTTTTTTTTTTCCATTGTAGGGATTGAACTCAGGACCTTGCGCTTGCCAGGCGGATGCTTATTCTATTAAGTTATCTTCCTGGCCCTGACAGAGTTATTTCTGATATAATTTTTTCTATGACCTTGTGGACTTGTTTCTTTATATCTGTTGCTATCATTTCAGAGATTTCAGGTGTATGTCTTCTGGTTTCTTCTATGTCGATGTCTCCTGGACTTGTTCTAGGTGGGCTGGAGGTCTAAGATTGCATTTTCCTTTTTCTTCTCATCATTTCTATTTCAAAAGAAAAATTATCTTGTTTTTTTGTGATGATTCTTGTGTTTATAGTGAGTAGCTGTATCACTAGTATCAAGACCTCTGTGGGAAAGGTGTTCTTCAGAGGTATCTTCTATGTGTAGGAGAGTCTTGATTTGTGTGTCAAAAGAGCCTACCTTCCCAATTAGAAAGTGTGGGATGTTTGGTATCTGTTTGGCTCAGTCCTTGGTCATTGGTTGTAGGATTGTGCTGAGGTTGCTGTCCCAGAGCTTCCTGTATTGTTACAGAAGGAAGAAACATCAGTTACAACAGATATGACATCCTACCTAAAGTAGTAAAATTAGCAATAAGAATGGTGTCAAGCATTATTTAGAAATTGATTAACTGTGGTAATATTCATTTTGTACTTTAGTCCATAGGACAGAATCTGTAGTATATAACAACCAATTATAAATTAGGAATTTGTGGGCAAAGTGCTTCCCCTTGGTAGAGTGGTTTTGAGGGGTGGAAATCTAGAGAGGACAGTGTACAAAACAAAGAAACTGCAAAGGAAGTAGAAGCAAAGCTGGAGGACAAAGGATGTTTATACAAGGTTTGGGAAACTAGAGAAGGGAATAGAAAGAATGAAGACTTGTTTGAGGGATTATGAGAACTTGGTCTCTGCATTTGGGGATGGGATTAGTTTTCTGTGGCTGGAGTTCTCCCCAGCTGTTCAGAAAACAGGAAAAAAAAAAAAAAAAAGACAAAAGGAAGAAAGGAAAAGGGACGTGAAAGAGATAAAAAATAAAAATATTGAAAATTAAAAAGTATATAAAATAAATTGAGGGAAAAGTGCAGATTACCAAGTCCGGGCTTCTTCCTGAGTTGATTGCTGGTCCTGCAGAGGCCTCACTCACCTGTTGGCTCAAATTGTTATTGTTGCTTTGAACTTTTCATACCACTGGTCCCCCGTGTCCATCCTGTGCACTCTGCTTGAAACCCTACTGTGTCGCTGGCGTTCCCTGTGGTCTGTGGGTCTTCCCAAGCTGCTCATCTGGTTTGTGGCAGTAGTGAGCAGGGAGGCCGTGCTTTGGGCCTTCGGGTCCGGTACACCTGAGTCTGGATGGCAGAGAGGTGGTGGGAGGAACTGCTCACCTCGAGCTGTTCACCTCTGTTCCATGGGGCAAGGCAACTGCTTTTAGCTGTTTTTGAGATAAATATTTATATTAACTGTAGTGATTGTGCTGTGCAGTAGAACGTACTCCTCCCAAAGTTTTCACCTTCATTCCTGTTGACCAACTTCTCTGCTTCCCTTCTTTTTCCCAGACTCTGGTGACTTCCCTTCCCTCCTGTACGTCTGTCAGTTTGACTTTGTGAAATTCCATACAAAAGTGAGATTATGTTTCTCTGACTTGTGTAACTTAACATAATGTCTTCTAGGTTTGTCCATATTGTTGTAAGTGACAGTGTCCTGTTCTCATATAAGGGTGAATACTACCCCATTGCATAGGGACCACATCCCTCATTCTTTTGTCAATGGGCATCTGGGTGGTCTGTGTATCTTGGCTGTTGTGAGTGATCCATCCTACCATCCATATGATGTGCTGACATCTCTTCGACAAACTGATTTCAGTGTCTTTCATTGTATACTTATAACGGGATTGCCAGCATATATTGTAATGCTTTCCTTTTCCTTTCTTTAAAATTTTGAGACAGGGTCTCACTAAGTTATCAAGGGTGTCCCTTTTTTTTTTTTTTTTTTTTTTTTTTGGGAAGGGTCTACGGGGTGTTCAGGGTCTCACTACTAGTTTGGACTATAGTGATCCTCCTGTTTATAGCCTCCCAAGAGCTGGGATTACAGGTGTGCGCCACCACACCTGTCTCAATTGCCTTCTCAGCATGCCCTGGGGGTGGGAGTGGCACTGCAGGCCTGGAGATTGAACCCCTGGCTCCTGTGCCTGCTTGCAGGCACTTTAATCCACTGAGCTATTTGGCTGGTCCTCCAAGGGTATCCTTGAACTGTCGCCTGTTGCTTCAGCTTACTGCATAGCTGGTAGTATAGGTGTGCACCATCTGTAGTGACTGACATACTGTAGAAATGATCCCTGAAAGTATAGCCTTACATGGACACCATCGTGTCTGGTGCCTTTTAGTTTTGATTTATGTCAATCTAACATAATAAGCATTATGTTAATGCTTATTGACCTAAATCGTTTTATTTTCTATTGACATTTTCATTTATTTTTTAAAATTGTATTGGTACATGTTTTCAGTACATAACACATTCATCCTGGGGAATTGGGACACATATGTAACACATCTTGATTCTTTTTACTTCTTCTCGCTTCCATCTCCCTATTTTCTACTCATATTTTTAAAATTTATGTTTTAAGAATCCCATAGGAAGGATAAACCTGGCCAATTGTACCAGCCGTCAGATAGAGCCAGCCAACAGGGAATTTTGTGCAAGACGCAACACTTTTGAACTCATTACTGTCCGGCCACAGCGAGAAGACGACCGGGAGACTCTTGTCAGCCAGTGCAGGGACACGCTGTGTGTCACCAAGTATGTATTCCTGCTCATTTTGTGTTAACTATGTCACTGTTGCCCATTATGTTCTTAAAACTATGTGAGGCGTCTGAGGTGGTCCTTGGCTGGAGCAGCTCCGTGGAAGCACGCGTGGCGAGGCAGGGTGCAAATTCAGGCCGTCGAGATGGGTGTGGTGGTCAGGTCATATCACAGCCAGTCCTGTTTGCATGTATTCATGGTGTGGGTGTTTTCAAGGCTGTCACCTCTTAATCTCTGGGTTAAACTTAAAAATGATTTCTTGTGTAACTGAAAAGTCAAGTATTATTCATGGTTTATACAGCTTTCCTTTCCGTTACAGAGAAACCCCTCATTTGGTAAGATGATACGACTTAGGAAAACAGCCTCATTCTATGAAGTTCAAGTTAGAGATTAACAGAAGAAATTCTGGAAATGTCTTTTTTTAAATTACTGTTATTGTTAACCTTGAACTTAAATATTTATGAAAAATTACTGCTAAGGGACTGACATGTGTTCTTTTGCTCAGATGCTCAGAAGAAAATTGAGCCCAACTTCAGTGTATAGAGTTATGATTAGGGACAACAAATGGAACTTGACACAATCTTTTATTCATCAGGCTGTTGGCAGATGTTGCGGACAGGGAGGCTGGCAATAGAAGCTCCCTAGTTTCTAGTGAAAAATTTTTAGAAAGCTCTATCCAGAGACATTGTACTAAAGCAGAAGTGTGTTTGAAAATAATTGCAAAGCCCATTCTTTGGTGACTTGATGTTCAGGTTACTTTCAGATTTGTCCATCTTAGCTCTTGGACTCCTTTCCTGGGGGGACCTTCCATGCAGCAGTAGTAGCCTACAGGACAGAAGACTCAAAGCTGCCCAATAGGCACTGTTCTTGAGAACCAGCTGTCCATGCCCAACCAAGCACATGTGTTGCCTTTGATTTCTGTGTAGCTTCCCCTGATAGCATCACCCTCACCCAGGTCTGTGCACCTTTGCTCAGGTGCATCCTGGGAGCCCTGCATCCCTGGTTCAGACCTGCCTGCATCTTCAGCTTTGCTTGGGGCTCTGAAGTTATTTCCCAACGTTCTGCACCCCCTTGCCTTTCAACCTCAACTGTTTTATCTAAATTTAATGCACCTCACTTTCATTTATACCTACCAAGCTTGCTGTCTTTCCCTTCTTCAATATAAAAGACTTCTCTTTGGGTCAGTGTTGCTCACTTCAAAATAGACACTACTCATTGGAAGTAGGGGTGTTTAATAGTCGGAGGCAGGATTTTGTAGTACAGTTTTGAAGCCAACAGACTTTTTGATTTGTTTAGTTGTTTTAGTGTCAGGACTGAACCCAGGAGCTTGTACATAACATAAGAAAGTGCTCTACCCTGCCCAGGCCAGTGGGTCTCAGTCTAACCCCGACTTACCCAGCGTAAGCCGTGGCGGATTACTTACCTCCACTGGCCCTCTAAATTCTGTGTCAAAAGGAAGAAAATAAATGTTGTAGAGTGACAAAAGAATCTCAGTGTAATAGCACATGGCGAGTGCATGGTGCAAGTGCAGGCACAGTCATGGTTTTCCTGTAAGGGGTCTTCTCCCCACTGACTGAGAGGAGGGGGTGAAGGCAGCACTCGTTCATGCCTGTGCTGTTCCTAGTGCCAGGGAGGAACTGTAAAGACGCACAATCAGTACAGTATCAGAACCTACCGGACATGGTAGCAGAGGCCTGGGATGCTCTGTCTGGGCTGCTTGGGGGGAACATCAGAAGTTTAAGCCCAGACTGTGCAATTTAGCAACTCAGTGGGACCCTGTCTCAAAAAAATAGTAAGGCCTGGGTTTGTAGCTCAAAAGGAAGGCACTGGGTACAGTCTCCCATTCCACAAAAAGAAATTACAGACAAAACGAAACCCTCCCAACAGCTGCCACTTCCCTGTAGAAGGGTGGTCTGACTGTAAGTTAAAGAATTCTTCTCTTTCTAGCCCCTACCTGCCCCATCAACTCATTCATTCCATTTGTAGCTCATAAGGATGCAAGGAAGAAATTGCCACTATGACAGAGGCTAGAATAGACTGGTATTTATTGTCAATACCGTGTTTTACCAGCATAGTAGGGCAGAAATAATGGGGAGCAATGCAAAGCAGACTTACCTGTAGGGCCAGTGAGGGTCCTGAGCCTTTGACCCCACTCTCACATAGTGTGGTGCCAGAGGACACTGGGGACTGCAGGGTTCAAGCCCAGGGTCCTCCTGCTAGGAATATGCCTGCACACCGCAGGTGTCGCACACACCAGGCAGTTGTGCAGATACCGTCTTTCATTGGAAGCATCACTCACGGAATGGAGTTAGATGTTAGGGTCACCCTGCCAAATCCAAGCTACTTGTATTCTGTTGTGCTTGGAGAAGCACCCCACCCTTGGCTCTTGGTTAGCTCCATTGAAAGGTGGTAAGGGTGGGTCTTTTTACCAGTTTGTGTTGACACTGTTCCCTCTTGGCTACCTGAGGTATGGACTGGGGAGGAGAGAAGGTGACTGCTGCTCTGTGTGCTTCTGCAGGAACTGGCTGTCTGCAGACACGAAAGAGGAGCGGGACCTCTGGATGCAGAAGCTCAACCAGGTCCTTGTGGACATTCGCCTCTGGCAGCCGGATGCGTGCTACCAGCCTATTGGGAAGCCGTAAGCTGCGGGAATTGCCACATCCTGTGGAGACTGTCTTGTGCTATGTCCTAAATGTTTCTTAAGAAAACATACTTTAGAGCATCAGATTTACTGATTGCATTTAGAGCTTTACATAGGAAAGGGTTTGTGCAAATATTCACTACATATTATGCAGTATTTATGTCTTTTGTATGTAATATGTCAACTGCTTTCTGTCATTGATAAATGATTGGAAGTCAATTCATTATAGTTGTTGTTGCTAAATCTAAATTTAAGAGTCTCATTTTCCTAGAAATATAATTGTTAAGTTGTTTATGACAAAATATTTTTTAAAAGTGTGAAACTCTTGAGTTGTTTTCTTAGGGCTGTGATCTTGAAGCCGCAGGGTCTTCCAGGGTTGGGACGGACACCTCTGCTTTGGTGATCCCTTCTCAGGCTCGGTAGGATTTTCAAAAGTTTGTAATCATCTCCTGGTCAATGACCTGTTAATGCAATACTGAAAGAAAAATTCTAAGGGACTCTAGAAGCATTGTTAAAAATGGAGATGAGCACTTTTTCAAATAGCAAATGTATTAGTTTAGAGCTTGAGGCTTCCTTCAAGAAAAGATATAGGCAGGTGACATTGTGTGAAATTTGGTGTTAAATATTTTATATGGGAGATTTAATCATGTGGTTTACATTTACTCAGCTACATATGCAGTGTGGTGCACATTTTCACAGAATTCATGCTTTATTGAAATAATTATTTTTGCCATGTGGCTTACAGACTCCCAAACGTTAGCATATTAATTCTGTGGTATAACAAGAACAAATGTAATGAGGATCCTTTATATTAAAAGAAGTACACTTCTACCAAGCTGCTATAGAATAATACTTTGCTTGCCAAAGTTGTCCTTTTTTATGTCTGTGTATGATAGTATCTAGCAACCTGTTTTGAAATCATTCTGAAAAACGTTAATTCTTATATTACCTTTAAAAACCTAGTACCTTTTGTCATTATAAAATATTTGTACAACATTTATCTCAGCTTTTAAGTACACTTTGAACTTCTTTTCTGAATTGTTAATTGAAATTTCATTTAAAACACTAACTTCTGTCATCTCCTATTTTCTTTTTTCATTTAAATGTTTCTTATATATTATAAATGTATTTTATGACCGCTTACTGAAATAAACACTTGTACATGGCGTGTGGCGTCAGTTATTTAAGCAAGGCTGTGTGTGGTGTGGCTGCTGTATAGCTCCTGTTCCGGGCTTCCTGGAGCACCATCTTGACAGGGCCTGCTGTCCCTCCTGCAGCGCTTGCTCTGTGGGTTCTGAGTGTTGCTCCGCAGCACATGCGTGGATGAGGGGTCACCTCTGACGCACGGCAACACGGTGTGCTGGTTACATGTGTGCTGAGGACACAGCCTGCGATTCCCAGGTGCTCAGCAGAGGTGACTGTGTGTGTAACATCACCAAGTGGCACAGGAAATAGGGTTGATGGAACCGACAAGGTCCCTGGTATTACTTGGTAGGCTTGTGTTTAATTTGGAACAGGCACGGCATATCAGGATACCAAATTCAAGAGGCACCAAGAAGGTAAGGTGGAAAGTCTGTCTTTTTGTCATAAGCACTTGTGGCAGATTTTGTGCGTCTTCCCAGAGATAAGCTATGCATGTTCATAGGAGCTCCATACATACTGTTGGCTCTAATATAAAGAAAAAAGTAAAAGTGATGATTAGACATCATTGTAGTGTAATGTGTTTGTGTACGGAAAACTCAAACTTAAAGAAATTGAGGTTAAGGTGACTATGGAACTTGAAATTGGAAATACCCCGTCAGATGGTGGAAGATACGGTGATTTCCCATCATTTGCCTCGAGGGCCTTTGCTGGGTCCATTTGAGTGGATGGATCACCCAGACTATGTGATGTAGAGAGAATAATGAAAGAGACACTGTTCTTCAAGGGTGAAGTGAAGAAGTGTGGCTAGCAGGTATCGTACACGTAAACAGTTGTGGGGTTTGGTGAGACCAAGAAGAGCTTAGATTTGACTATGAAATCATACAGCAGATGAATGGAAGCATGAATTCACGTGTGCAGAAGTCGGTTGAGTATGACAGTTCCAATAAAACTCAGAGTACAGCCCATGGAGGAAAAAGGATAGATTTAGCACATTAAAAAGTCCTTAGAGGGCAATGTGATTGGGCCTCTCCTGTCTCTCAGGAGCTGTGTCTCCCAGTGTTTTTTCTTAAGAAACAAAAAGTCCTTACAAATTTATATAGACAAAGGTAAAACACAAGACACAGCTGAACTAACGCTGTGAGTGAGTACCCGTGTGATTTGGCATCCACTGTGCCCAGTGTTTGCTTCATGGTGTGCATTCTCATGATTTTCACAGGAACTTGTGAAGTCAGCACTGAACCTAAAACTTGGCTTTTTTTTTTTTTTTTTTTTTTTTTTGAGACAAGATCTCACTATGCAGGTCAGGCTAGCCTTGAGCTCACTTTGTAGCCCAGGCTGGTCTTGAATTGCAATGATCCTCCCGCTTCAGCCTCCTGAGTGCTGGGATTATAGGGCAGGCGTCACCACGCTCAGCTGCCGCCCAGGTCTTGGTTTTCATGTGAAACATGCCTTCTGGCTCAGAATAAAGTCTTAAGGAAGGCATCACGCTGTCTCAACCAGCAGGGAGCCTGTAGAGGTGGAGCTTCTGTAACTCTTGGGAATCCCAACAAACAAATCCATAAATTCTAAGTGTAGTTACTGCATGCAGTCCTTCGCTGGCTACATCCCACTAATAGCATTCCACAGATAAAAGTCCTCTTGCCAGAAGTCATGAATCTGTTTACCCAAAGATCCAGTTGTCAGCAGGTTTATGAGGAATTTAGGTGTGTTGTACATCAGTTTTCTCTAAAAGCAAAATTTAGCTGCTTAACTTCCCCACTGTCCTCAGACAAATTTGCACTTGAGCAGAGACAAACATGAAAGGATGATTATTGCAGTGTAGTTTCTAAACAGGAAAGATAGAAATAACCTGAGAAATCATCAATGTGAAAGAAAATTAAAAATAACCTTCAAGTGCACTAATAGGAAATCATGGTACAATATCCCATACAGAGGCTGAAAAGAACGTATTTTTGGGTGAAGAAATGACTGTTACTAAGCTGATGTGGAAGAGGTGAAGATGAGGGAGAAGAGGAAGATACTGGTTGCTATGGTTTGGTTCTAGTTGTCCTCCCAAAGCCTTGTGTAATCATGGGGCAGACTTCCAGAGTTTGGGATTAATTAATGAGCCGATGCTGGGATAACGGGTGTGAGTGCTATACCTGCCCTGAGGCTGGTAGTCTAGATGCAGTATAAGGAAGGGAGAGACTCGTTCCTGCCTCTGTTGTTGCCACCACTGATCTTCCCTTTTTACTCTTGCTGTGTTGCTGTTTTCTGCTGCCATGAACTGTTGCCCTCTGCCATGTGCCACTCTGCCTTGGAGCCAGTTGTGTATGGACTGAAACCTCCACAAACTGAGCTAAGTAAACTTTTCCTTCCTTAGTTGTGGGTGTCAGGTATTTGGTCCTAGCAACAAGAGAAAAGTTAACCAAGTCACTGGTAAGAAAAGAAATATAAAACATAGGAGGGGGAGGAGGACGAATGGAAGGAACAAGGTGATGGGTGATAGAATGCATAAGAGATGGGGAATCTAGGACCCCACTCCAACATTTAGCATTTGTTATGGCTTAGCTCTAGAATTACCCCCTTCCTCCTATACACACATGCACAAAGTCTCGTGTGTTCAGAGGTGGGGCTTTGGGAATGTGAGTGGATCATGAGGTGCTGTACTTAGCATTGGTTTCATCCATGGACGGGTTCACGGCTGGATGTGCTGCTAGGAGGTTACCCTGGTTTGCGTGGGATTGTTGGGGGACTGACCAGCAAAGGAGTATTGTTCTCCTGGTGGGATGACCTGCAAGGGTGTGTTCTTGTGATGCTTTCCTTTTCTCTCTGGGGGAGCAGCTTTTCTCCACCAGACCCTCCTTACCATTCCTGCCTTGGAGCTAGCCTGCTGTGGATCGAATCTTCTGAAATGTGAGGCCAAATCAACCTCTTCTTTATGTTCAGCTGTTGTGTATTTTGTCCAGTGATGGGAAAACCATCGATACAGTAAATATGTGAGTTCTGAAGAAAGTGCATGGAGCGCAGTCGTGCAGGCAGGCAGCTGTGGAGTGATGCCCAGGCCAGGGCCTCCTTTTTCATGAACAGCAGTGGGCATGGGAGCTCCGTGGAGGCAGGCACAACCTGTGTGAAGAACTGCACAGCTGTTAGAGGAGAGGTCACTAACAGGCACCTGCCTGGTAAGTGCAAGGTCCTGAGTGTGAGTCCTGGTACTGATAAAAAGAGGTCTCTAGTCTCCACAAGAGTTCATGCTCTAGAGTTGAGCTCTAGCAACACACCCGCTCCCATTTCCAAGTCAGTGTTCAGATTTTTTGGTAGAACTTTAAAAAGGTGCAGAACGTATTAAATTTTAATCATACTATGAATATTAACATTTCAGATTAAAATCCTTATTATAGTCTTTTGAGACTGGGCATGGTGGTACGCACCTGTAATCCCAGCGCTTGGGAGGCTGAAAACAGAGGATCACTAGAGTCTGATCTGTGTAGTGAGACCCTGTAGACCCTGCACTAAATACATTTTAAAAAAATGCTTATAGTCTTTTAATCAAATCCAGAATCTATCTAAGTGCCATTTTGTCCCCAATCTACTTTAAAGTACACAAATTCTTTTGAGAAACTTTAAGGACTTTCATGTCAATCCTTTCACATCATTTTGTATTGTAACTTTTTTTATGTTTCAGCAAAATATGTAAAAATGAAACCATTTTTAACCATAAGAGTTTAAATGTTAAACTGATTTATTGTTACATTTACTTTTAGTTCACAATTAAGATAAAATGTTACACATCTGCTGGGATGGTGCTGCACATCTGTAACCCCAGCACTTGGGAAGCCTAAGCAGGAGAATCGCTGTGAGTTCAAGGCCAACCCAGGCTACATAGTGAGTTCAAGGCCAGCCTGAACTGCATAATGAGACCTTGTCTCAAAAAAAATTAGTTATACATCTCCTGGGGCCTTGGCCTGGCCCTAATTTCCTAAACAAGTGGATGGTGAATGGCTTAAATAGAGACAAATGGTATGATTCTAGGGCTTCAGGAAGGTTAAAACCCTCTAACAGCATTCATAATTCCTTGGCCATTGAGAAAAGAACTTTCCTGAGAAGCCTGTTTATTTGGTTTTCAAATGAAGGAAGAGGATACTGAGGTAAGCGCAGAATCTGAGCAGGACCTTGGGAGTCTGTTCAAAGACTTCCTCAAGTAGGAAATTTTGCCAGTCAGGAGAACAGTCTGATCTCTAAGGTTGGTGATTATTGCTCTGGAGTAGGGGGTGTCAGCAGCCGTGTCCTTGGCCGCCTCAGCTGTGGCTATGCCTGTGCTCTTTTCCAACACAGC